AGTCGTCTGACCAAGTTTTCCTGTGCAACCCCACTCCACCAGCTGCTGGTTTCACCCCTTACCGGTCAGGCTGAAGAATTTGTTGTTAACAGACTTCGGAAAAGTTCAATTTTCTGTGTTCTGACTATGTTTTCTGTTGCTAATATTTAGTTGTCTCTAAACTTGGTTGTGTGAGAAGGCACGGCTTATTCACCTATGCCTCCATCTTGGCGGAAGTCACATTAAGTGTAAAATTGTACATTGATTCTCATTATGTTTTTTAAAGTCTTTAAACTTTTTAAAAATGCATTTTATTGATTATGCTATTACAATTGTGCCATTTTTCCTCCCCTTTATTCCCCTCCTCCCTGCACCTCACCTCCCACCAGCATTCTCCATCTCCATCCAGTACATGTTCATGGGTCATACGTATAAGTTCTTTGACTTCTCCATTTCTTCTACTATTCTTAACCCCATTTGTCTATTTTATGCCTACCAATTATGCTTCTTAGTCCCTGTACCTTTCCCCCGATTCTTCTCCATCCCTCTTTCTACTGATATCCCTCCATATGATCTCCATTTCTGTGTTTCTGTTCCTGTTCTAGTTGTTTGCTTAGTTTGTTTTTGTTTTAGATTTAGTTGTTGATAGTTGTGAGTTTATTGTCATTTTATTGTTCATATTTATGATCATCTTCTTAGATAAGTCTCTTTAATGTTTCATATAATAATGGCTTGGTGATGATGAACTCCTTTAACTTGGCCTTCTCTGGAAAGCACTTTATCTGCCCCTCCATTCTAAATGAAAGCTTTGCTGGATAGAGTCATCTTGGATGTAGGTCCTTGCCTTTCATGACTTGGAATACTTCTTTCCAGCCCCTTCTTGCCTGCAAGGTTGCTTTTGAGAAATCACTCAACAGTCTTACAGGCACTCCTTTGTAGGCAACTGTCTCCTTTTCTCTTGCTGCTTTTAAGATTCTCTCCTTATTTTTAATCATGGGTAACATAATTGTGATGTGCCTTGGTGTGTTCTTCCTTGGGTCCAATTTCTTTGGAACTCTCTGGGCTTCCTGAACTTCCTGGAAGACTATTTTCTTTTGTCAGATTGGGGGAGTTCTCCATTCTTATTTGTTCAAATAAGTTTTCAATTTCTTTCTCTTACTTTTCTCCTTCTGTCATCCCTAAGATTCGGATGTTGCAATGTTTAAAGTTGTCTTGTAGATTCCTATGCCCCTCCTTTTTTTTTTTTTTTGAATTTTTGTTTCTTCATTCTGTTCTGGTTGGATGCTTATTTCTTTCTTTTGTTTCAAATTGTTGCTTTGAGTCCTGGTTTTCTTCCCTTCACTGTCGATTCCCTGTATATTTTTCTTTATTTTTGCTGTGCATAGCCTTCACTTTTTCCTCTATTTTGTGACCATACTCAACCATTTCTGGGAGCATCCTGATTACCAGTGTTTTGAACTGTGCATCTGGTAGGTTGGCTATCTCTCTTCCTTACTTAGTTGTATTTTTTTCTGGAGCTTTGATCTGTTTTTTCATTTGGGCCATTTTTTTTTGTCTTGGCGCTCCTGTTATATAGTAACGGTTGGAGCCTTAAGTGTTCGTTCACCAGGGCGGGGTAACTGACATCGCTGCATTGTGGTGCTGGATGTGGATGAAGTGTCTGAGAGGGAACAATGCCACTTGCTCTGCTCTCTGCTGGTTTTCAGTCACTTCCCCTGCTACCCATAAGCAAATTAGACCTTCTGGTGTTGATGCCTGGGTGAGTGGGTTTGTGTACATTCTAGGACCTTGTGGGTCTTTCCAACAAACTCTCCTCTGAGGCTAGAAGTTTATTCCACTGCTGCAGCCACCACAGATTTTTACAGGCAAAGGTTTCAAGGCTTTATTTCCCTGCCTGGAACTTTGGGTTGTGCAGTCTGTCTTGCTCCCCAGTTGTTCCTCCCAGTTTATCTGCATGCAAATGTGGGACTGCCAGCCACTGCCTTGCCCACCCAGGTCCTCCAGCCACTGCCTTGCCATAAGTCCTCTGCACCCAGCTGCCCATCTCTGCCCCTCCTACCAGTCTGAATGAATGTTTCTTCTTTAACTCCTTGGTTGTTGGACTTCCATTACAGTTCAATTTTTTTGTCTGTTCTGGTTGTGTTTTTGTTTCTAAATCTTTGTTGTCCTTATTTTTGGTTCTGCAGAGAGGCATAGTATTTCCACCTATGCTTCCATCTTGGCCAGAAGTCAGAATTTAGACATTTTTTAGCTAAGAAATAAACATTCATTAGATAAAATTATTAGCAAGCAGCACAAAAACAGTTCATACAATTTTTGGTATGCTCAAGGAAATCCCAGTTCTGTGTTTCTCTAGATGCTACAAACTTGAAAAAAGTTTTCTTCAGAAAGATACAATAGTACCCTGAAGGTACTGTAACCTTATGGTCCACAGATAAAATCCTCCAAAATCAGTTCAGATTTCACTGTAACCCTAACTGTCATTCTAAAAGGTAAAGGACATAGAGTTTACCAGCTCTACACCCTAATTTGAAAGGAGGGAAGTATCCCCAAAATACAAAGGCAATTCTCAAAACACTGAATGTCACCCACTTTGATGAGAGGCTGTTTCTAATGTTATACAAAGGAATATCTGTCCTGAGGGCTTACAGTGGCTACTCTGGGAGTTTGGCCTTTCTAATTAAAAGCCAAACTTTAGATTGGGCTTAGATTTTTTTAAAGCAAGGTGGTAAGCTCCATGAAGGCAAGAATTTTTGCTTGTTTTGTTCACTGCCCTACCCCTTGCCCATACTGAAAGCTCAAAAGTTTGTTGAATGAGTAAATGGGCTGACTTTGCTAAAGTAGTTAAGTGAGTTACAGGAATTATAAAAATAAACATGTTTTGGCCACAAGCACTCTTAGTGCAACCCCAGTAATTTTTTTAAAATAGATTTGAAATGTACCATCCTACTTTAGAGAGTTCAAGAGCTTAAAAGGAAGAGGTTGGGGTGGGAAGACTTGCACTCCAGCTTTTCGATATTGGATATTATACACTTTCTCTAAGATCACATCAGTCTGGCAGCCACAACAGAGACCCACTTACATCCGATACTTTGTAGACCTGTATTTTCTGTGTACCTTTCAACTCCTTCTCTCAAACTCCTTCCCTTGCTTTTGAGTAATTTATTTTTAAATACTTCACCTTATTATTTCATTGTACTGAAATTGGAAGGCAACTGAGTCTGGGGCTCAGGCTGCCTGTCACTGTTCAATCAAAAAGCAGAGACAGAGACTGGATTATAATCATACTGTTATTAATACCAGAGGCCAGGAATCTGAGAAGGTGATGGGTAAAAACCCTAGCATTCACCTTCCTCTTGAGCTTTAAGAAGCAAGTTTATATAGAGGAAACATGGGAATTCTGGAGAGAGAAAATTTCTAGGGGGAGCAGACTTGTCCTTTCTCTTGGGAGTAAGGGGAGGAGGAGCTGGAAGAGGAGTCCTGCAGCTTCTTCCCAAATTCGCTCCCTCTGTTCCGGTGTCATCTCTCCGTCTGCAACAGCATTCCTCTCTTTCCAGCACACCTGTGGTTTGTGGCCAGCATCTGCAAGAAATATCAAAGGAAGTTCTCGGCCCAGGGTGGTTTAAGCTGTGTATCTCTGGTTAGGGAGGAGAGGAGTAAACCATTTGCTTTCAAATGATCTAGGTTAGGAGACATAAGGTCTTGAAATTCATCAGCTGGCCACGAGTTACTCAAACCATTTAGTCTTAATTTTTTTGTCTCAGTTTCCCCATTCCATTTGCCCAGGAATTTTCCTAGCTTGTTACTACCCTATCACATTATCATTTGCATCATACTAAACCTTGGTCTACCCTTAAAATGTTAAAGGAAAGACATTACTGTAGTTCTTAATGAATACACTAAACCTTTCTGTATAAATATTTTAATTCAGCTCCCATAAAGCCATCAGATGTTTGAAAAAAGTTATAGAACATGACTCAAAGGGTCTAGTTTTAAGAAGTTAGCGATGAATAGATGAGATCATTAACCATTTACTATATTCCCCAAATGAGTAACGAATGTGTAACACAAAAGGAAGGTCCCTTAGAGTCTGAAATTCTTCTGTTACACCAACCTGTCTGTGTTCTTTGTTCAAGAAGTTGTAATTGTTTTCAGAATATAGTCCAGGAGCCAGCTTCTCAATGCAGGTGTCAGGTAATCTACCAAGGCCACAGGTACAGGAACAGGAGAAACACCACCTCAGTAGGAGTGTAGAACAGCCAGTCCATCAGGGACGGAGACCACTCCTGGTGGTCTGACTTGCAGGTTGCCTCAGCCTTGCAGCTCCCAAGGGCACCTTGGCTGCCTGCACTGCCCCAACCTCCCCATTTCCCCATCCCCACCCCCACCCAGCTCTGGCGGGTCACACACTTCTGCCTTCCCCAGGCCAGAAAGCCAGAGTTTAGACTTTTATATGACAGTGTTTCCCCACAATTTTCATTGGTTCTGGGCATTAGTCCTGCTAGGACACTCTCAAAACATAGTTTTAACAATATGTAAGTATCTTAAACTAAATGAGGCTTTTTTTTAAGAATAAAAAATTCACTGATAAAGTACTAGTAGAATTCATTTTATATTTATAAATACTTAAAATATAAACTTATGTCATATTTTTCAAAATTTTATTTACATTATTGACCTAAAAATTAAGACTAGATCATAAGAGTGATGATCATAAGTTTTTTATTAAACTGCTTTTAAACTTTTAGTCAGTGAGCACTGTATTGAGCATATTTTATAAGTTAATCAAGAACAAACTACCTACATACTACCTAACTCAGTATCTCACTACTTTAACCTTCTCTTATCACCGTAGGACAAAGAGAAAACCTCAAGAAATTAGATGAAGTCTTTCTGTCAGCCTCTCTGTGGAGAAGTGAACTAACCAAAGGGAGGCTCTGATGGAGGAGAGGCTGTAGAGATCGTGTTAAGTTAGGTAAGACACGAGGGAGAGAGCAGAGATGAAAATTCATTAAAAAATCATACCTACCTGGCAGGGGAGGTACCATGATCATGAAGGTGGTTTTCCCAGAGCGAGGCTTATGCATTGCACTCTGAATGTGCTGGCCCCTGTGATTTCCCCAGATGTGGGAAACTTGACTACATGATTTGTGGTAGTAGGGGGCTATATTCGTGCTCTCTTCTGAAAAAAAAAAGAAAAAGAAATAAAACTTTATAAATCAGAATTTTATGTCTGTAGACAAAGAATGATACAGATTAAACAGCAGGGACTCAGGAGCTTTAGCACACATGCCTGTATCAAAATACTGTATTTTGCTATGTAAAATGCACACCTATGTTTTTGGCCCAAATTTTCAGGGAAAAAAATTTGTTTTAATTTTTTAATTCAATTATTTATTTATATTTAGAAACGAAACCAGTTATCATATTCCAGGGTATTATTTTGTATATAGATATCATTATTGCTTTCTAGAGTTATACTTTTAATGCATAAGCATAAAAATAGAATTTAAAACATTTATATAGATATGGAATTATTACTGCCCAATATAATACATAGCTTTATTTTTCTCCAAAAACTTAGGCAAAAAGTGCACATCATACACAGCAACATATGGGTATGTCCAAGCCTTGCTACTTATTCTCAACTTGTCGATGAGAGATGAAGGTGAAAAAAACTTTTGTCTTCATTGAACATTTCCTTATTAGATGCAAATTACTATATTTTGCCATGTATAATGTGCACCCATGTTCTTGGCCCAAACTTTCAGGAAAAAAATCTTTAATTTAAAATTTTAAATTCAATTTTTATTTACTCACATTTAGATACTATTTTTTGTATTATAATGGAATTTTAGCATTTATTTCTAAACATATTATGGCACAAAAAATTGTATATAACAAAGAATTACAAAACACAAGAACAGATACAAAGTATTGCAGGTATTACCCATGTATAGTGCACATTCTTATTTTTCCATCAAAAATGTGAGCAAAAAAATATGCACTATACACAGCAAAATATGGGTAATTGATATATTGACAGTCTCTCAGAGGTAGAAATAAAATGATTCTATTTGGAAAAAAAATTATATTCTGGATTGTGTTATTTTTAATCTAGAATATTTTACAATTCTTTTAATACTTAAGTTTTTTATCCTTTTTTTGCCATTTGTGCTTCCTTGAAAATAATTTGTACAATAGCTATTTAAGTGTTACAGGCAATGGGCATTGAGAAGTTATCACAGGCTAGAAATGTAAAGATTGATTTTAGCATTAGGGAAAGCATTTTTCTCTAAGAACTTTGAAGGCACAGCAATGAGCCTATTGGAACCTTACTTCAAGAAGTGGCTAAAAATACCAAAAGTGAGTATGGGAAAATGTGGTCTGACTTTAGAAATATGTCACATATATTTGCCTTTGTAAATATATTAAGATATAGATATATACTACAAGAAAAGAATTCAAGCAAGATTTGGCTGGTTTTCATGTAGAAATCAAAGAGAACAGAGTTTAAAGGTGACAGCCTTCCAAATATGGAATAGTAAACTTCATCTGGATAAAAAATTATTACCTAAAGAGACTGGAAAACCCAGAAAACAGGAAGCCTCAAAGTTATGAATTAGCCATCAGATTGAGAGTGTTATCCCACGAAATCCTCGTGTTTCTTATGAGTTTAGAATAGATGCTAGTAATTTGTAAGACAAAGAGAGAGAAAGGCAATGAATAAAAAATTAAATAAAACCTATCTTAAAATTATATACAGAAAAGAAAAATCAAAATTTTGAATATAGTTACTGACATACAAGGCTCAAGAAAGGCAAAGATATTGCAAGCTTACCAAATTATTGTGGAAGTTACATTACCAAATGCATCACAAACCAGGAAGGAAAGCAACTCTTCAGTGAGCTTTAACACAGAATTGAACCAGCACATAGCTCGGCATGTCACAAAAAAGACATACTTCTGAACATCCATACTTCTTGCCATCCACTTCCAAAGTGATCGTGTAGAATAAATGCCTAAGAAAATAAGTTCTTTTTTTTTTGTTTGTATTTTATTTATTTTTATTTATTTATTTTTATTTATTTTTTAAATTAATTTTATTTAGTTATTTTTCAAGTACAGTTTTTTGTCTATTTTTCCCTTCCCAGCCTCCCCCGCCCCTTGCTCCCCACCTCCCTCCCATATCCAGCTCCCTTAGTTCTCGTCCCTGTGTCCTTCCTATTTGTTCCTCCAAATCCCTCCCCCTTTTTCCCCTTAACTTCCCTTCCTTCTCCCCTATGGTCACTGTCCCCCTGTTCTCTATTTCAGTGTCTTTGGTTTTTTTTTTTCTGCTTGCTTGTTTGTTTTGTTGTTTAGCTTCCTGTTAAAGGTGAGATCATATGGTATTTGTCTTTCAGCACCTGACCTATTTCACTCAGCATAATGCTTTCCAGTTCCATCCATGTTGTTGCAAAAGGTAGTAGCTCCTTCTTTCTCTCTGCAGCATAGAATTCCATTGTGTATATGTACCACAATTTTTTGATCCATTCATTTACTGATGGGCACCTAGGTTGTTTCCAGCTCTTGGCTATTGTAAATTGTGCTGCTATGAACATTGTGGTGCATAGGTTCTTTGATATTAATGTTTTAGGATTCTTAGGATATAATCCCAGCAGTGGAATTGCTGGGTCAAAAGGCAGGTCAATTTTTATTTTTCTGAGAAAATTCCATACTGTTTTCCATAATGGTTGTACCAGTCTGCAATCCCACCAACAGTGAACTAAGGACCCCTTTTCCCCACAACCCCTCCAACATTTGTTGTTTGTTGCTTTGTTTATGATAGCCATCCTGACTGGTGTAAAGTGGTATCTCATTGTGGTTTTAATTTGCATCTCTCTGATAGCTAACGATATTGAGCATCTCTTCATGTGTCTCTGAATGTTCTGTATGTCCTTGGAGAAGTGTTTGTTCAAGTCCTTTTCCCATTTTTTAACTGGGTTGGGTGTCTTCTTAGAGTGGAGTCGTGTAAGTTCTTTGTATATTTTGGAGATTAAACCTTTGTCTGAGGTATCATTGGCAAATATGTTTTCCCATACAGTTGGTTGTCTTGCTAATTTAATACTGTTTTCTTTAGCCACGCAGAAGCTTTTTATTTTGATGAGATCCCATTTGTTTATTCTTTCCTTTATATTCCTTGCTCTAGGGGACATATCCGTAAAAAAGTTGCTGCGTGAAATATCTGAGATTTTCTTGCCGATGTTCTTCTCCAGGACTTTAATGGTGTCACAGCTTATATTTAAGTCTTTTATCCACCTTGAATTTATTCTTGTGTACGGTATAAGTTGGTGCTCCAGTTTCATTTTTTAGGCATAACTGTCCAGTTCTCCTAACACCATTTGTTGAAGAGGCTATTTTTACTCTGTTTTATGCTTATGTCACCTTTGCTGAAAATTAATTGACCATAGAGACTTGGGTTTATTTCTGGACTCTCTGTTCTGTTCCATTGGTCTATGTGCCTGTTTTTATGCCAGTACCAGGCTGTTATGATTACAGAGGCTTTGTAATATAGTTTGGCATCACATATTGTGACTCCTCCTACTTTGTTCTTCTTTCTCAGAATTGCAGCTGCTATTCAGGGTCATTTATGGTTCCATATAAATTTTTGAAGTGTTTGTTCTATGTCTGTGAAATATGTCATTGGTACTTTAATAGGTATTGCATTGAATCTGTAAATTGCTTTGGGTAGTATGGACATTTCGATGATGTTAATTCTTCATGTTTCCATTTGTTTGTGTCTTCCTTGATTTCTTTTTTCAGTGTTGTGTAGTTTTCTGCATACAGGTCTTTTACTTCTTGGTTTAGGTTTATTCCTAGGTATCTTATTTTTCTTTTTGCTATATCAAATGAAATTTTTTCTCGATTTCTGCTTCAGCTGTTTCATTGTTGGTATACAAAAATTCCTTTGATTTCTGAATATTGACTTTGTATCCCACTGTTTTGCCAAATGCATTTATTAGATTGAGCAGTTTTTGGGTAGAGTCTACAGGATTTTCCATGTACACTATCATGCCATCTGCAAACAGTGACAGTTTTGTTTCCTCCTTTCTGATTTGGATGCCTTTTATTTCCTTTTTTTGTCTGATCACTGTGGCTAAAACTTCCAATACTATATTGAATAGAAGTGGTGGAAGTGGACAACCTTGTCTTTTTCCTGATCTTTGTAGAAAAGATTTTAGTTTTTGCCCATTGAGTATGATGTTGGCTATAGGTCTCTCATACAAGGCCTTTATTATATTGATGAATGCTCCCTCTATTCCCACTTTGCTGAGTGTGTTTATCATAAATGGGTGTTGTACCTTATCAAATGCTTTTTCCACATCTATTTATATGATCATGTGACTTTTGTCTTTGCTTTTGTTTATGTGATGTATTATATTTACTGATTTGCAAATATTGAACCATCCTTGAATCTCATGACCCGCTTGGTCATGGTGTATGACCTTTTTAATGTATTGTTGGATGCAGTCTGCCAATATTTTGTTGAGGATTTTAGTGTCTATGTTCATCAGCGATATCGGCCTGAAGTTTTCTTTCTTTGTTGTGTCTTTGTCTGGTTTTGGAATTATGATGATGCTGGCTTCATAAAAAGAGTTCGGGAGTCTTCCATCATTTTGGATTTTTTGAAATAGTCTATCAAGAATAGGGGTTAGCTCTTCTTTAAATGCTTTGTAGAATTCTCCTGTGAAACAATCTGGTCCAGGGCTTTTGTGTGTCAGGAGTTTTTTGATTGCTGCTTCAATTTCATCTGCTGTTATTGTTCTGTTCAGGCTTTCTGCTTCTTCTTCATTCAATTTTGGGAGATTATACTTTTCTAGAAATCTGTCCATTTCACCTAGGTCTTCAAATTTCTTGGCATACAGTTCTTCATAGTAATTTCTTACAATCCTTTGTATTTCTGTGGTATTAGTGGTAATCTCTCCTCTTTTATTTCTGATTGTGTTTACTTGGGTCATCTCTCTTCTTTTCTTGATGAGCCTGCTTAAATGCTTGTCAATTTTGTTTATCTTTTCAAAAAACCAGCTCCTGGATTCATTGATCCTTAGAATTGTGCTTTTAGTCTTTATGTCATTTAATTGTGCTCTGATCTTGGTTATTTCCTTCCTTCTACTTGCTTTGGGCTGTCTTTGTTGTTGTTCCTCA